TAAAAAATATAATCTGTGGAAGCCGTAGTACTGTAAAAAGCACGACCAATCATCTGAGCCGGCCCGGCTAAAGTAACTGGATGGCCTACCTGCCTGTCAGCCTTCCATCTGTGCACAAACTTATCTCGTGCCCTCATTGGTCATGTGCGCGTTCGTGTGTGTTGGAGGAGGGGCTCTGTAAGGATTGTAGGATTGTATTTTCAAATTCTAGCGCACTCGAGCTGGTTTCTCCAAAATTACCTACCCCACCTTTAACTGCTCTGACACCATAAAAAAAAGAGGAGGATAGATTATCATTAACGAATCCTGCAAATACATTACTTCCAATAATCCAAACCTTTGTAAATGCTTATTCAGGGGGTCTGTGGGGTCTTAAAAAGTACTGAAAGTTGATAAATCAATTTAGCGAAAATGAAGCCTATTAAACGGCATTTTCCAAGGTANGAACTCCAAGTGGAGATGAGGTCTTAACATGTATGGAAAGGGTCTTAAAAAAGGTCTTGAAAGGTTTTACATTTGACTTCAGGATTCCTGCATATACCCAGGGTATATGCAGGAATCCTGAAGTCAAATGTAAAACCTTTCAAGACCTTTTTTAAGACCCTTTCCATACATGTTAAGACCTCATCTCCACTTGGAGTTCTAACCGGTTACCTTGGCGACACACTTTACCTCACATTGTGTGCACAGATGGAAGGCTGACAGGCAGGTAGACCATCCAGTTACTTTAGCCGGGCCGGCTCAGATGATTGGTCGTGCTTTTTACAGAACTACGGCTTCCACAGATGACATTTTTTTTAGGTATTTTTTGTCAAAGCTCTTAAGATATTCATTGCTATCGGGATGTTAAGAGCATTCCATGTAATATAACAAAAAGTCTATCTCGAGCCGGTTTCTCAAACTCACCTACCCCACCTTTAACCAGAAGATTATTCATGTTAAAACTGAGCGAATTAAATGGAGCACAGTTCTGCTTTGTTTGGCTTCGTACTGCACCAACAGCTCCTTCACGTTACCCTGCATGCTGACTATTTCAAACATGATTGCAGCTTCAGTCAATAACAAATACCACTCAGATGCTTACAAGGTGACGAAAATGTAATATGTGTTTGGTGATTATGTTAAACAGATGTAGGTGAGTAGCGTCCTCACCACAGCGATGTTAACCCAGGCCGTGGCCAGCTGGGTGAGAGTAGCATCTTCATCCTGCTCCTGCATCTTCTTCAGCTCCTTCCTGTCAATGACAACCAAATAAAGTGAGTTATTTAGCGTTATAACAAATCTCTCTTTTTTTTTTACATTCAAATCCTCTAGTGATTTAGTGTCTGCAACCTCCTAGAAAATACTTGAATCGTTGAACAAAATACTAATTTTGAATAAAGTGAATACATGGAGTAGATGAGTTGGCCTTTATTCAGGGTTCATAGCATACACTTTTTCACCAATGACTTCTCCATGACCTCTACCTCGTTTTCCATGACCAAAGAAATTACATTCTCTGCGGTATCACTGAAAATGGTTTATTTGAACATGGAACAGGAAAATAAGGTCTGCATATGAAACATGCTGTGTCTATCTAAAACAAATCCAATAGGCTTACTAGCTTCTACACGCTAAAGCAACTCAAATCTCTCACCAGCAAAACACCTCGTCAGTTAAATGCCATTTTACGTTTCATTACTACACGGTACTTATTATCATTATAGTATTACTATTTCGGCGATTAGATAAAATATAAATTATATTTGATGCAACTTTAGTTACATTTCCATGACTTTTCCAAAACTTTGGGAAAAATATTGTTTTCCATAACTTTCCCAGGGCCTGGAATTAGCATTTTGAATTTCCATGACTTTTCCAGGTTTTTAATGACCGTAAGAACCCTGTTTATTACAAATTCAACTTTTCTAATGAATTAAACGTGCTTGTTTTTGAATGTAGACAGGAGGCTCATCTTATCAGGGCGTAAGATCATGATGAAATATTGATCACGCATTTGATTTCAATTTATATGATCTTTGATCCAGAATTCTAAATGTCAATGCTGTGAATGAAGCATGCAAGTTTCATACTAAAATTACTAGAGGAACACTGTTACAAGAAAATTCAAAGGGACAGTATATACTTTTGTGTACGCAAAGTCTCTTTGATTAGTTGTTTGGTTCAGACTTACCACCAAATGACATTAGTCAACACAATCGAAGAGCTCCTGGATGTTTTACACAAGACTTCAAACAATAAATCTAACCTAAAATTGCCATGTAAATAATTTACTGTTGATGTGTTTGCCATACCTTGCCAGGTCCAGACGATCCAGACTCAGCAACACCTGAATGGTCATGGCCATGCTGAAAAATAAACAACACATGTTTAGGTCAGTTTCAGGCGTTTGTCTTTAGACCCTCAAAACATCTAGTAGGGATGCTCCGATCGGCAATTTTGGGTCCGATCGCCGGAATCAGTATCGGCCGATACCGATCGCCGATCGGATTGAGTGGGCGGGGCCTATGGGGATCTTCCATTTAAAGTGATGTTTAAAACTCAGTTAATGGGGCTCATTCACTGGAGCTTCCACAAACAACAACCAACATAAGTATTACATTCAAATGAAGTACATTATTCAAGTTCACATTAACTTTGGAGAATAACACGGGAGAAATGAGCGGAAGCACTCTCTTTTCCTCTTTTCTCTCTTACTCTCTCTCTCTCTCTCTCCCTCTCCTGACAGTATCGTCTCATGCAGCTCACTGATCCAGTAATGAGTGACCGGACAGTGAAGAATAAATATATGTATAACTAATTTAGCTTGTTCCAGAGGTAGATAGAATAGCTAAGTGTGTTAGGTCTAACTCTTAAGTGTGTGTTGCTCCGCTCACCGGTCCGTCACAGCGGGTGGAGCTGCAGGAGTTCTGCTTCACACAAGTTGCATACCGCTATTTTATTGCAGAGAAAAGTGTCACTTTACGTCATAATTTTACGTCATGCGATCGGCTCTCGCGATCCGCATTTTTAGAGAGCACCGATCGATCGGCAGAGAGCGAGTATTGGCGGCCGATCGATCGGAGCATCCCTACCATCTAGTGTGAAACTGGGAGAAAACTAGGTAGCCGAAACCCTCTTGAACAACATCTTTCTGACACTTTTTAAAAGAGAAGTCTTGATCCCTACCACTCGAGGCTTTCTCCTTGGTGCAGAGTCCTGAGAGCGGCGTCACAGTTCATCTCATGGAAGTAGATGGAGGCGGCCATGAGGAGGAAGGTGGTGTTGGCAGCATCCACGCTCTTCGCCATGCTCTTGTCTAGATCGGCAACAATAGCATCCCTGCGAGACGTAAAAATAGGAATTTAAACTCAAATGGATCATTATCAGTATTTTGGGGATACAGTAAATACTTTTTTTGAATGTTGTAAAGCAACGTCAGAAAAAGATTCATAAACATACAACTTTGCACATCTTAGCATTTAAGACTTTTGAAAGATTGATTCAAGAAATGCTTTTAATAATTGAGACATTGTTTCTTCAATTAATTTAAAGGTCTTTTTAAGTGATGACATGTTAAAGATCCACAAGAACCCTGTAATGATTAAAGTAGTTTATTTGAAGGGATATAAAACAGAATGTCGGGCAAATCAAGACATTTAAAAAGGCATTTATTTGTTTTATCAAAACTAGGATGGACATTTTTCATCATTTTCTGAAGTTTTTTTATCGAAAAGATTAATGAAGTAAAGAACCGGCAGATATATCGACAATGAAAATAATCCTTAGATGAAGCTTACATCAAGGTTTCAGCACAGAGTGGAGAATATGTTTCTGATGGATACTTGAGACGGTACGAAAAAAAACATTGTTTCATTATTGAAGTCTCTGTATGAAGGCACTCCAAAAACTGTGCATTCAAGAGGACCTGCATTAGAGTTGTAGTTGATGCTGGGTCTAATTTTGATACTAATTGAAAGCTTTTCAGCTATAAAAAAAAAGTGCATGAATGTATTGAGTTTTTGTCAACACAACAAGTGTAGTCCCCTGCCCGTTTCATGTTGAGCTAACATCAAAATGCATGCTGTTACCTTTTGCTTTCACTGGACCGATACTCTGCAAACATCTTGACAGCCTGGAGCTCAGGTGGAGAGTTGGCCTTGATGTCATCCAGGACAACAGCATATTTCCTCTGTAATAGCACAAACAAGTGAAGATTAGCAGTGTGTTGTCTATATGCAAAATAACTGACAGCAATGAATGTGAAGTAGCTAACAACAAGAGACTGAGCTCTGTGTGACATATAATACTAATTCTACTTAAGAAAATTACTTTACCTGGGCAATGTATGCTCTGTACAAAAACATGTCCCTTTCAACCTCCTTCTCTGGTGTTGACGGCTTGAAAGAAAAACACAGGCAGTATTTTAAAGAGAAGTATGAGCTAGCATGTTAGCATTGTAGCTCAAATCCGTTGACAGCTTTTAGTCAGAGCAATAACAGTAAATAACGGACAAAACAGTTTATTTTAAAATATGTAACTGATGCCGTATTAGACACTTACCTTCACTTTCTGAGCTTCGTTAATACATTGTTGATAACTGCCGATATAATAGGCATTTTTCACGTCGAAGAGCTCGTCAACATCTCCCTGTGTCGCCGCCATGTTTGCATACAGCTTCCTGACACGTAGCAGAAATACGTCACCATCCTGTTTTCGACAAAGGATTCTGGGAAATTGAGTTCAACAACTGAAGCACAGGTGTGTGTTACAGAAATGCAGGACCACTGACTTTTTAAAGCTTTTGCCGTTATTCCCACTGCAGTGTTAAATAAAATATGATTTCCCTGCTCTATATAACAACAATATTAACACTGTTATTGAAAAACCGTTGAACAAATAAGTGTATTAAATAAAAACGTATGTATTTTTTTGTATTTACTTAGATTATCAGTACGACTGACCGCTACAACATAGAAAACTTCATATTCACACCATATTGAAAGCCTTTTTTGAAGGGTTTTGATATGAAGTAAACAAGTGGTAGAGTAGAGTGTTTTCAAATTATTAGAAAAAAGTACAGAATACAATCTCATGTAACTACACTTAGATTTGCACCTTGAAGGACTTAGCTTTTAATTAGGATGCAAATACGAGGTAAACAAATGGAACATTTAATGTGTTTCAGTCCATAGGGGTTTATTTGTACACTACAAAAAGGAGATTATCTTAAAAGTAGAAAGAAAACAATTGTCCTTACAATGTAAAATGCATTGTAAAACCCATTTTATTCAGTGGCACCCTTGCTGCATTTAAGAGCTCATGTGTTTTGTTGGTGGACATTTTGGTTTATGGTGATTTATGTTACACTGTGTTTTTAGTGTTAATCTTTATCCTGCTACTTTGTACTTATAGCCACTGTTCAGTAGCCTCAACTTGTCACAATATGCCACTAGAGGGAGCAGCAGGTTAATGTCACCACTGCAGCAGCTGTCTAGTGTTTTATGATAGCAGAGACTTGCAGCAGCATGATAACATAAATATTGATAGGCTTAGTTTATGGGATAAAATAAATATGACTTGCTTTAATAACACTGAGATGTGACCACCTGAGGCTTGAAGAGCTAGAACTCCCAGTATGATATCAGGGCTGCGGCATTGCCTCACAGTTAAAATAACAATGCAAGAAGGATATTCTGACCTCAGGAATTCCTGTTTCCTCATTACACAGATGACAAACTTCCTGTATCCCATCAAAAAAACATCTGCTCTATGTGTTAGTGTGTGTGTGTTCTCATTACTAATTGAATGTTATGAAACTATTAAATGTACTATTTATTTGTTTGCTCAAAGTGAAAAAATGATCGCTCTTCATTGACAAGATAAAGTTCAGAGATTTAGAATAAGAAATAAATGCAAAGGTGAAAATTAAATAGAACCATAAAAAAAAAACAGTGGATGCTCAAATAAAAACATTTTTAGAAACACTTAATAAAATAAAAACATGAAATAAATAGAAAAACTCAGCTATCATGTGGATGACAGTCAGATATGGAAGAATTACTCAGATTATTTTAGTAAAAGTAGCAATACTATAGTGTAAAATAGTAAGTTACAAGTCAAAGTCCTGAATTTGAAATTGTACTTAAGTAAAAGTACTCGTTATGCAAAATTGGCATTTTGAGCAACAGATATTTTTGTATTATTGTATTCAAGTTATTGGTGTATTTATGTGTTCCTCACTTCAATGTTGCAATTTAAATATGTTATACACCACTGGATAACATAACCTATAATAATATATTGTAATGTGTGTTGATTTGAATGTTGTATTGATCACCTAAATCTGCAAAGTAACTAAATATGTAAAATAAATGTAGTGGACTAAACATTTGCCTACAAAGTGGAGTGAAAATATAAAGTATCATCTTGTGAAAATACTCAAGTAAAATACGTACAGTACAGTAGTTACACCACTGATGACAGTAAAAGTTGCACATCAGGAGGTGTATAGTTATTTTACAATAGTTATAATAAACACTGCAACAACGGCTTCTGTTGTCCTGTCTGCATATGTACCTTAAGAAGTCAGTTTATAATTTATTCCATTTGAATTTTGTATCAATAACCTAAATCTGCAAAGCACCTAGTAACAAAATATGTAAAATAAATGTAGTGGAGTAAAAGTATAATTACATAAAGAGACATCTTGTGTAAATAGTTCTCAAGTAAAGTAAAAGTGCCTGTACATGTTTGTTTGATTATAACGCTGATGACAGTTAAGGTTACATATCAAGTGTTTTATTTAATGATATAAATGAAAAACAGTGCAAAGTGGCTAACCCTTTTTCTGTTGTCATGTCTGATTGTGTACCTTAGCAAGTCAGTTTATCATTTATTGCATGACAGAATAACTGCTCCCACAGTTCCTGCTCATTGTTCCCTGAGCACCATTTCCTCTGGGAACTTCTCAACCTTGGGTATGGGGGACTGGGATAATTACTGGAAACCCAGATGGGGGCAGGGAACGTCCTGGCTGTAAATGGCCCTTTCTTTTCGGCCTGATTGGGGCTGGTCCACTCCCCCTTGTTGCTACTTCATTGGCCTAAGCCAACATCAATCTGTTGATTTCCAGGTCGCCCTCAAGTTTGAAACTTTTTTTTTCACAAGGAGTAGGAGGAGGAGGATTCAGGTTACAAGTTGTAACCGATCTCACGGGGCAGCAGAAGAAACACTCTTTCAATAATTCACACTTTGATACTCGAAACAAGAAGGAGCTGCGGGGAGGGTGCTGCTTTTTTTATCCGATGAAAAACAAGCGAACAAACAGAAACATGAAGTGACTTTCCCTGCGCTGCCAGGATGAAAACTTGAGATTTAATTCCGATTTAGGTGTCTTCTTGTCGGCTTACCTTTCTCCTGAGTCCCGCTGAGGTGAGTCCATCATGCCCTCTTAACGGTCGAGTAGTTTTAAATGTAACATCTCATAAACTGACACTAACGGTCGAGTAGTTTTAAATGTAAGGTCTCGTAAACTGACATTAACGGTCGCCTAATATCAGAGGCCTGTGTGGTCAAATCACACCCACATTATTAGCCCGTTATCTTGTTTATTTTTGTCCTTTTTAGCCACTTTTTCACGGTTTAAAACGTATATTAGCTTCATGTAACTACGTTTTGTTTGCTAGCTTACATATCTTTCTGTGACAGGCTTTATTTTTACTACGAAGTTAGCGGAAGTAACGGTCAAGAATGTCAGTTAGTCAACCTGTTGGAAACAAAATCCAAAGTAGCCTCAAACCACATTAGTTGCATATTGGGACTGTAAATATGTTAGTTTGACTTTAAGGGTGTTGTTAACCCATGAAAAGGGTGTCTTAGTGTCAATTTTAAGAAACTATTGTGATCTTTTATACACTTAAATAGATATATTAACTATGTTTGAGTATTCATTCATTTCGTTTTCTTGGCATATTTTAACAACTTCTCTGTTTTGTGTCATTGCACCTTGTGTTTTGGACTTTTTGTATTTTTTGTATATATTTTGCCAAATATTATGTCACATTATCACAGTATACAGACATCCAAAAGAGAAACCAAATGTAAGTAGTGAGGGGAAATATTACACAACACAATATTGTTTGCATGGGTTTTGGATTATCAAGGTAGTGGGCATTTATTTTTTTAAGGTTGATTATTTTCTCACTTTCTTTACACATTGTTTATGTTTAGGTGAATTGTCAATGAGTAGACGATTGGCTACCCAAATATATTACAATTAGGCACCATTATCAACGGATGTAAGAAATATAACATATAATGTCGCTCTTAGTTTTATTTAATGGATTGTCCAATATTCAGTTTCAATATAACCAAATCTCATCAGCAGGAAGTGGATGTGGAAAACAGTGAAGGTTGCTTATCCAGTTAAGCCCCATGCCCCGTTTTGCCCATGTTGGGCAAAACGCAACATCTTGGAAGAAACAGCGCCTGAGGGCTTCTTAACATTTAACAAACTATGAATGTGTCATCATCATACCCACTTAACGGGAAGAAACTCAGCTATCAGACAATATTAATAATTTTTAGCTAAACGAAACACAAGGGTAATACCAAGCTTCTGAATTAGCCCTGAGCGAAAAAATGCTAACGCACTTAGCACAGAACTCACGGTAAAATATCCTTATTACTTATCGGATCTGCACAAACAAGATATCAGATTAAAGCTGAGATCCCACAGATTCTAGAAATATAAGTATCATCACTGTGCGACCAAAGCTCGTGGCAGGGGAAGCAAACCCAGACAACACACCACGTAGCTTTACGGAGCAAAAACTACAAATATGTCTTACCTTTTGCTGTTTCTGATCAAAAGTTGTGTTCAATGGCATTAAAACGATAAAAACGCTGCTGAAGGTTAATCCAATGTGTCTGTGTCACTTTGAAATGCTTACTGATAATCCATCTTCATATTTTTATGTCAATAACGGAGATTTCATATTAGCTGCTACGAGAGTATGACAGCTTCCGGTTTTGGGCATTCTGGATACGCATCACTCATTCACCAACAGTGTTGGGTGTAACACATTACAAAAGTAACAGAGTTACAGTAATGTATCTTTTTGCTGTAACTAAGTAATGTAACGCATTACTAATGAAATGTGGGTAATATACTACCCGTTACAATTCTCAGTAACGCAGTTACAACAAATTTTAACCCGAAATTAAATGGTGTTTTTTTTTTTAAGAATTTACCAACATCGCGAGACATTCCGACACCAGAGAAAAGTTGTGCGGGTAGATTAGTAAGCCTGGTGTTTACCCTTCAGGCTCATCAAGATCCCTCCGCTTCGCGTCGGGTTCCCTGATCAGCATGTCGGTTGTTCTTTTCCCTATAATGACCGCCTCGCTGCACATTATCCCGCTTATTACACGGCCATATACTAAACAAACTACAGAGCCCATTCCGTGTTCCTGTTATTGTTCACTTCCTGTCTGCCTTCTTCTGGTGATTTATCTGACGTCCAGCGCTCCGTCTTTTAACCTCTTCTCCTTTCTCTTTCTTGATCCTCCTTAGCAACCTTCATTATAGTCCTTGACAGTGGTCTGTACTGTATTAACAACGTGTCACATGTTAAGAATTTACAATCAGAATCGAGTATTCAACTAAGCCGTGTAATACAAGTTGTGAGTAGCCTTAATGGACTAGACAGTTGTTATGCTACCACATTGCCCTTCACTGCATGTATAATGAGCTGCACTAAACTACATGTTAGCCTTTAAAATACCTAGCCATTCTTTTGAGGTTATTTTGGTGAAAGTAACTGAAAAGTAATATTTTAGTGTAACTTATTACTTAGAAAATACAGTAATAAGTAATATGTACTGTATTACATTTTGGAATTAACTTGCCCAACACTGCTCACAAGCATCATTTTCCTACATCTGATTGATTTTGCTAACTCGTAACTGAACTTAAGAGGCAGTATACCTCTAGTGAGTGGCCCAGCCCTTTGTATCTTTTTCTGTATGTGGCCCCCGNTATTACATTTTGGAAGTAACTTGCCCAACACTGTTCACCAATGGGTAATTCCCCTCGATTCCATTGGCTCTAACGGTTAAAAAGAGATGTCAATCATCAAAATCGAGCAAGGGGGGCCAGAGATAGGTCAAATCCACCCAAATGACCCCAGAAGTGTTTTATATTTTGCTAAATCTCTCTAAAAAGGTCAAATTTCACTTGTTTT